GATTCTAAGTCTGTAAGTCTTTTATGGGAGCAGAAAGCCACATCTTTCTTCCATGGGGTGGCTGGTGGCTTTGAATTAATGACTTTGATTAGCTTACCTGACTGCCACAGGGGCTCCATTTTTACTTCTAGATATGAGTAGATCATTTATCTCTGTAATAGATAATGAAAGTCATTTGATGGAAAGTGTTAAGTGGTACAAAATATAGAGAATGAAAATTCGTCCCTCTCTTTTTGATGTAAGGTGAAGTTCCTAGGTGATACAAGTGGCTAATGTGCTCAGCTGCTCACTAAAAGAAGTCTTATTTGTAGACATCTCAAAGAAAAGGCCTGGCATTCTTCTTCCAAAAATAATCAGTCATTGAAAATTCTATGGAGCAGAGTTTACTCAATAGCTTATGTGTCTTTTTACACATTGTATAAGGGAGTAACACCCCCCCCCACTCCCCACCCCCACCCCTGTAAAAAACAAACACCAACCCTTCGGTAGCATGCCTCCAGCTTACCCATCCCACCCCTCCAGGCAAGCATCCAGCAACTTGCTCTGAGTTAGTGCACCCAGTGGTGTTTACTGGCAAGGTTCTCTCTGGTCACAGTGAATACTTTCATAAAAGAGTTTCGCTTGAAACTCATTTTTTGTTGTGGCTGATTTCAGAGAACAAACAGTGTGTAGCTGTGAAATTTTGTTTCCTGCTCAGAAAAAATGTTGCCAAAACTGTTGTGATGTTGAATATAGCTTACAAGGACAGTGGTATGGGGAAAAACTTAAGTGATGAGTGCTTTTCTCGTTTCATAAATGGTGGAATTTCATTTAATGACAAACCTTGTTCTGGACATCCATCAACTTCCAGAAAAGATGAAAATGTCAACTCTTAGGAGTTTGTTCCACCAGATCAGACTGTTAATCAAGCTTTATATTTAGAGGTTCTGAAAAGATAGCATAGTTGTGGGACAAAAAAAGTCTGATTTGTAAAAGGTCTGATTTGTGGCAGACGGGGGACTGGTTGTGTCACCACAGTGTACCTGCTCACACAGCCTGCCAGTTTTTGGCACACACAAAAAACCCCAGCATGCCTCTCTTGCCTTGTGCAACTGGCTAACCTGACCTTGTTCTATGCCACTTTTTGTTTCTATGAATGAAGAGGGACATGAAAGGACAGTGATTTGACGAAGTAGAACAGGTGAAATGAACAAAACAAGAGAGATGCTGTCAGCCATCCAAACAGATGAGTTTGAAAAATGTTTCCAAGAATGGAATTGCAGATTTGACAAATGTATTAAGTGTAATGGAGAGTACTTTGAAGGTGATTTTGTTAAGAAATTTAAGTACATAGGGAGGTGGGGTGGGGTGAGATTCCTGCTATTTTTGAGTACCTCCACAAATATTCTCTTCTCCCCTTTAAAATAGATATGCAGCATACTGTTTGCTCTGCCCCTTAATCTGTTTTGTAGATTATCTCATATCAGTATATTAAAAATTTCATACACATACCCTGCAGCTTCTTCGACATGCTGATAGTAATGGATTTCCTATCCAGTATTCAACTATCTTTGTATATCATAATTTATAAACACATCTTATTAATGGACATTTTTTCCAGTCTTGCTTTTTCAAATAATTAATAGAATAATATTCATTGTTTTGCACATGTCAATATAAATGTGGTGTAAATTCACAAAGTTGAATTGTTTATTCAAAGGGTATATGTGTATGTTTATTATGTAGATCATCAAAACCAAACCAAATTCACTACCATTGAGTTGATTCTAATTCAGCAACTCTATAGAACAAAATTAAAAAAAAAAGTTTTATTGACATAATTTGTGGACCATATCACTACTTTAAATATATTAAAAAGAGTTGTGCGATCATCACTACATCAATGTTAGAACGTTTTCTTCATTCTGTACCCATAGTCTCAGCTCTCCATTTCCCTCACCTTCCTCTGCAGTAACCCTAAGAAACTGCCCAGGTCGTTACTGTTTCTACAAGTACCTATTCCTCTGCAGTAACCCTAAGAAACTGCCCAGGTTGTTACTGTTTCTACAAGTACCTATTTCTTTTTTTGTTTTATTTTTACATAGAAGACAAGATTTTTAAAGGAAGTTTACTAAATTAGATTTGCATTTTTATTAGGTTTAACTTCATATACTTGAGCTCTTTATGCTTTCCCTGAGTTATTCAGGTTCCTTGTTAATTTTTATATTGGACTGCTGTTTTTTGAAATCAGTTCAAAGGAATCTGTTAAAGTTTGTCGGAAATTTCCATGATCTTTTAATTTTATTTTCCACAAACTCTTTTGAAGTCTCCTTATACTTAATTTTGAAGCAAAGTCACAGTACAGAAATTAATTTTTTGCTAAATTAAAGTACATTTTTGCTTTTTAATTTTAAGTCAAGTTTTAAACTACAGCTGCTAACTGGTTCATTCCAGTTTGGCTTGCTAAGAGTTTACATTTCCGCCTTGACTTACTGAATCACATGGCACTGCAACTATTAGTCTCTCCACCTGTTTGGAGCAAAGAAAAGAAAACCAATTCATATCTCTTTCCCAGGTGTTACTATTGTTCATTTTATAGACTTATCTATTGTTGACTGAAACAGGGGCCCTGAGGGTCAATTCATTTCCAGGATTGAAGGGTGTCTACGGGCTATAGTGTTAGGGATCCCACTACTTTTTGTCAGACTAGTAAGCCAGTTTGTTGTTGTTTTTGAGTTTTGTTTCATATTCTTCTACCCTACCCAGGGCCATCTTTTGTGGTGCCTTTCAGAGAGGTAAGGTTGCATCATACCATCTTCTCATGTCAACATTTTAAAGACCATCGTTTGTATGGCCCTTTGGTCCTTTGGACTAATTGTTTCCATGCTTCCATGCATCTTTGAATTTCTTCACTTTCCCCTATACTAGAATAATAGGGCAGCGTTTGCCCAGGGATAAAAAAGCTCAGAAGGCAAGAAATGATAGGAAAGAGGACAAATGGAAACTGTAAATACAGGAAGAAAGTAGGAAGGGTGATTGTGGGGATTACAATCAATGTCACGAAACAAAATATATGAATAATTTGCTCTGTAAATCTTCACCCAACTCACAATAAAAAGTTAACTCCACTCCCTACCCCACACCCCTCCAAATATTTCCAGGGAATCTTCTAATTCAGTGTATTGTATAGAAAGGGAAATTTTAAGCAGGAGGGTCAAACCAAACTCAACTGATTCAGAGCCTTTGTTCAAAAAGCAACAAATTATATTCCCCAGGCACTGATAATTTTTAATGTGATTAAAACTTGACCCTAAGAAAATAATAATTTATAAATTATCAAGGGTTCGTGAAGGAGAGGGGGGTGGGAGAGGAAGGGAGGAAAAAAATGAGCTGATAAAGGCTCATGTAGAAAGAAAATGTTTTGAAAATGATGATGGCAATATATGTACCAATGTGCTAGACATAATGGGCGGTTATACAGATTGTTATAAGAGCTGGAAGTGCCCCCAATAAAATGATTAAATAAAAAAATAAAATAATCTAAAAAAAAAAAAGAAAATACAAAACTAACCCACTTTAAACAATTAGATAAATATTTGGTGACAAAACAAAAAACAAAAACTTGATCCTAAAGATCCAAGATAATACTGATGACTTAAGAAGTATGCTCTATTATTTTAGGTCATCGTAATAAAAACATTTTTGTCTAATTTGTTTTTGTATTGTGTAGTGTTTGCCAGGAAGACTTTAATATCTTGAGTGTGAAAAGAGTTAATATTTTCTCATTCATGTAGTTTTGCGATATTTTCTGGTAGATATAAGAATAATGTTTATCAGCTTGTTTTGAAAATTGGTTTTTAAGTTAAAATTAAATATAGATGGAAGGGTGGTAGTTGTCACAGTCTTTTTTACTCAGATTATTGTAGGTTTATTTTTGTGTGTATGGGGCGCACATTATGTTTTCTTTTTCATACCGGTTATCTTTCTGAATTGGAGGTTGCTTTGACATATTCGCAGCAGTATGTATAGTCCTTCAGCTGTGTGTGTGTGTGTTTAAATATAAGTTTGTTTTGGGAGAGCGAATGTTATTTTTTCCCCTAAGTCCAACAAGGTGTACCCAATACACTTTTTTTTTTTTTCCCAATACACTTTTTATTTAATATTCATTTGATAATTGAACAGACTGATTGTGTTTGCTTAGAGAGCAAATTTTCAATAGTTTGGAAAATTCTATTTTGGAACTTTTAAAATCTCAACAAATCCACTTTCCAATTTCTTTGACAATTTCATCTATAGTCTCACAGATTCCTTATCTCCTTCAGTACACAGCTCTTCATTGGAATCCTTTTCCTTGGAATGTAGTATTTCCAAAGGGTTTCAAAAACTGGGAGATTCTTAAGTTGTTTATATCCTTTGGAAAGCACTACTCTAGAGGGAATGTGTGGCCTTTTCTATATTTGTCAAAGTGGAATGATTAAGTAGTATGTCAAAGTGATTTCGAGGAAGGCTAAGTAGAGAGTCAAGCAAATTATTTAACTCAAGGACTCTTTATCCTCAAAGAGTTATTCCTAACAGCTATGTAAAGAAGAAATTGTAGTCTTGTTTATTTTCTACATGTAATGTTTTCCGCATTACAATAAATTATTTATTTAATTGTCTTTTCAGCTGTGCATTCCCCGTGTTTTGAGATTATATTTGGCACTTTGATATATTTGAAGATAGCTTAGTGATATTGAGTTTTTTGATACTTGGTTTTGGAAGACTTTAGCAAATATGTGAGGTAGATATTCATTTACTGTAACCTGGGGGTGATTAGCAATTTGATTTAGTAGTGGTTTATAACTCTTTGGAGCCCTGGTTAATTGTTGGGCAATTTGAAACCTGTTTTATTTGTCAATTAGAAACTTTGATGGTAAAGGCTTATGTCTGTTTACTTTAATCATTTATGGATTCTGGGCTTAAAATACTGCATTTCTAGATTTTGATAGCAATGTTAAAATTTCTTTTTTTCCTGTTTACAGTTGGAGTGCCTCAAGCTTATTGCATCTCAGAAATTCACAGACAAACGTATTGGCTATTTAGGGGCAATGCTGCTATTAGATGAAAGGCAAGATGTTCATCTTCTCATGACCAACTGTATCAAGAAGTAAGTGTTCCCTTTAACAGCTACTTGGCTCCTTGAGGTATTTCTTATAATACGATGTCAATAGCATCTGATTACTGGTTTTATATTTATTGTCCAAAGTGTATTTGAATTTTTCTTGGATCAATTTAACATATTCACATTTTTATAAGGTATAGTTTTATTCACTAAAGACATGGGCACATCTTCAGGCATAGGAAAAAAATTTAGTACTGAAAGAAAGATTTGGACCATTATAATAAAGAAAAAGCATTGGTAAAAATCTGGGCAGTTGTATATTTTCCCTAGTAGTTTGAGTATCACAAATATCGTAACTATACTTTTAAAAGAATAACCAGTATATATTATGTGTAAAGGAGCTCCGGTGGTGCAATGGATTCGGCATTGGGCTGCTAACCACAAGATTAGTGGTTCAAATCCATCAGCTGTTCTACTCTAGAAAGATGAGGTTGTCTGCTCAAGGTTACTAAATCTGAATCAACTGGATATCAGTGGGTTTGGCTTTGGTTTTTTAATATGTAAATCCCATGTAAAGTAAAGAGAGAGGAATCTTGCTTACCAGCAGTGTAATCCATCTGAAATTTCAGTTGCATCCAGTTTTACTTAGTCTGGTGAACATTGTGGAGTCTTTTTTGTTAAATTGAATGTAGGAGAGAGCTATGTAATTCAGGTAGCTCGGGATTGATTTGGCACTTCATTCCAAATATGGTTAATTCTGATGTTTTATTTTTTTGGTTATTCATTTTTGTAGTCTGGAGCATCTTTGTCTACCAATAGTTTTTATGCTTAATAACGAATGTTTGCCTCATTTTTCATTGGCCTAGAAAATGTCAAGACATTTATGGGAAATCTTTAAAAATTGGATCTACTTGTAAGAACTTTCATTATGTAAATACCCTAATCAAGGAAAATGAATAAAAAAGCAGCTAAATGTTCTTGGGAATTAGAACCCTAAATGGTGAAATCATCAGTACTGCTTCATTTTAAAAAAAGAATAGTTGCCATTTTATTCATTTATAAGTATACAAGTCCGTGACATTAAATACACTCATCATAATATACAATGATTATTCTTCCTACTTCCAAAAGTTTCTCAAAACATCAAACAGAAAGTCAGTACTCCCTAAGAGTTAACTAATCATTGTCTTCTGTCATCTGCCCCTGGTAACTAATTAATTTTTGAACCATGTGGATGCTGTGTGTTAGTATTATTTTAAGTTCTATTAAGGAGCCCCTGAGTTGCTGTGGGTTAGGTGTTGGCCTGCTAACCACAAGGTTGGTGGTTAAAACCTACCAGAGCAGCCTCTTTTCTCAGGAAAGATAAGTTTTATCTGCTTCCATAAAGATTGCCAGTCTTGGGAAACGATCTGAAGTAGGATCGCTGTGAATCAGAATCAACTTGATGGCAGTAGGTTAGGTTTTTGGTATGATTTGGTAGTTTAATTTTTGGGGTCTGGTCTTGCTAAAAATAAAACAACCACCCATATAAAGTAATATGTATTTTCTTTATGACATTTTTATTACTTGGGGTCATGGGGGAAACATACTGGTAAACTGTCAACTTTATTATTGAAATTTTATTATTGCAATACCAAACAAACTACAAACTCACTGCCATCAAATCAATTCTGACTCAGTGATCCTTTAACTCTCCCCACCTCACCCACCAAGACTATAACTCTGTATGGGCGTAGAAAGCTTCCTCTTTATCCCAATTGCAGTTCTATTTTCCAGAATTCTAATTATTACTGGAAAGCTTAGATTTTATTACTGGTAAGAAATAAAGTGTCAGTCTCACTTGGCTAATTTTATTGAAAATGTCTTCAAATACCCAAATTTTAAATCATAATTGTCTTGTTACTTATTTTTCAAGTAGCCATCATGGCCCATGGTAAAAATATAGCTAGTTTACAGTTCAGCATGCAAATAAAACAGTTGCACATGTGCCATTCCCTAACACAGCAGTGGGCAACAATAGTATATTAGTGTACTTCCCATTTGGTCATACAGTATTGGAAAGATGTAACCAAGGGTTTAGATTTAATAAAATCACTAGTGTTTACTGCTTCATAAAGGGCAGTCTTTTAAAAAAAATCATTTTATTGGCGACTCATACAACTTTTACCACAGTCCATATATATACCATTGTGTCAAGCACATTTGTACATCTGTTGCCAACATCATTCTCAAAACATTTGCTTTCTACTTGAGCCCTTGGTATCAGCTCCTCATTTTTTCCCCTCCCTCCCGCTCCCCCCCCCCGCCTCTTTCACGAACCCTTGATAATTTATAAATTTTTATCATTTTGTCATGTCTTAGCACTGTCTGACGTTTCCCTTCACCCACTTTTCTGTTGTCTGTCCTCCAGGGATGCGGTTATATGTAGATCCTTGTAATTGGTTCCCCTTTGTACCTCACCTTCCCTCCACCCTCCCAGTATTGCCACTCTTAAGGGGCACAGTCTTAAGTGAAAAATTTTTTCTTCCTTTTACTCTGACTGTGGGGCAATGATTACAGGGACTACTGTAGTACTGTTTTTTACTGCTGCTTTGGGTCATGCTAATGCACCAATACTTTTCCCCAAAATACTTTTGAACTATTAATGCAAATTATGAGAATAGCTTGAACCTCATGTACTTCCTGAAATAATCTTGGGGACTCCCAGATAGCTGTCAACCACATTTGGAGAATCATCCCCAGGCTAAGGTAACCGTAGTGTACAAAGCTGGTAGAAGTAGAAAAATTACACTTCACTTGATCCTAGGATTCATTTTAAGTTTCTAACATATTTTGTTAAAAAGTTATTTGTTAATTTTGATAGTAGTAATGCATAGTTAATGTTTTGGTTTTTTTGTGCACACATAAAAATATGAAATGTATTTTGGATCACATCAAAGTTAGTACTATGGCATACGACGAAGGCCTCAGTGTAATAAAATTCCTGTTGTCATGTCTGGATCATGCAAAATGCTCCCACTAGCATTAGATATCTTGTTTTCTGGTTCTCTTAAAAAGGGTTTTAGTTATGTCCATTTCCCTTTTTTTGTTGTTAGTAGTAAACCAAAATAAGGATTATATAAAGATACAGTTTTGCTTTGTATTTTTATTACAAACATACCAATGTGTAGGTTTGGTTCTAACCACTGCAGCAAAATGAATATCACAATAAAATGAGTCACGGGAATTTCTTGTTTCCCAGTCTGAAAGTTGTATCTATTCAAAATAAGCTATGTGTAGTCCATTAAACTGCAAGAATAGTGCTATGGAAAAGATGGAAATATTGTGAGAATTACTAAAATGTAACAGACACACGAAGTCAGTCCATGTTAGCATGGTGACAAGACTTACTTGACACAGATTTGCCATAAATCCTCAATTTAGAAGTACTCAATATCTGCAAAGAACAATAAAATGAGACATAATAAAATGAGGTATGCCTGTATTGCCAGCTTTTACTATCAATTATTTCCTGCATTTTCTAAAGTGGGTTGTCTTTAATATCGAACAGGTAACTTGCTGTGCAGTTTGTTATTTTAGTATTTGAAAGTGTTGGGTTGTATGCCTCTAGGGGACTATCAAGTAATTTGTAATAAAATGGAGATAGACATTTCCTGCAATAATAACCATATTATCTCCATTATTGGAGATTTCTTGAGTTAGTGTGAACTAATGCACTCACTGGGCAGTGGAGCTTCCTCTGGGGGTCACAAGGTGGAATATCTTCACTTCTTTCTCCTCTTTTTTGCAGTGATCTTAATCACAGCACACAATTTGTCCAGGGGCTAGCACTCTGTACCCTTGGCTGCATGGGCTCCTCAGAGATGTGCAGAGACCTTGCAGGAGAAGTAGAGAAACTCTTGAAAACCTCCAACTCTTACTTAAGAAAAAAGGTAATTACAAAAGAGAGAGAGAGAGAAAGGTAATTTTTATGAAATTACTTGTGTGTGTTTGTGTCATAAAGATGAGAGACATTATTTTTACTTAAAATTTATGATAATAAAGTATCTTTGCGTAGTAAGTATATTTTATGATTTTTATCAGTCAAATGCTTATAAATCAAAGTAACTTTTAATACTGCCTAATTTTAGAGAGGATTTTTTTCTTTATAGCTAATTGTTCTACAGTTGATGATTATTAAGAACACTTCATTTCCTACTGTCTCTTCTTTCAAGGAAATATTCATAAAAATCATGTTACTGGATATCTTTGATGTCATACCGAATTCCTTTCTAAATGATCTGATACCAAATAGTATTTAGGCAAAATGATAATAAGCAGATTTTAAAGAACTTACTTTCATGCCCAGTTTTTTGTATTTATGTCTTTGCACCTCTGGAAAGACAGTTTCATTAGAAACTAGGTATTTACCAGGAATGATATGGAGCATAGGTTCACAAATGTCTTTGGCCCACTGTCCCCATTTCCAGGGCGGTGGCGTGAAATTTAAAGCCCCCCCCCCCCCTGCCCTCTCCCCCCAGCAATTAAAAACCTCTGTACTATAGCTCATAATCCAGGAAAAGTACACAGATTTCTGCTTTTGCAGCCCCACTCCCCCTTCCCCATTGTCTCAGTGCCCCACAGGAGACAGTATCGCTTACTTTGAGAAACACTACTTTATAAAACTGGTATATCTAAATGGAAAAGGATAATCTTATTTATACCTAAAATCTTAAAAGTGTATAAAATTTAAAAGTTCAAGGAATAGCTCTGCAGATGCCACTGATTGAATTTGTAGTTTTGTCTGCTCCTCTTGCGTCCAGCTATGGTCAACCCTACTGTGTTTTTTGACATAGCCGTCAACAGCGAGCCCCTCGGCCGTCTCTTTCAAGGTGTTTGCAGACAGAGTTCCAAAGAGAGCAGGAAACTGGCGTGCTCTGAGCACCGGGGAGAAAGGACTTGGTTATAGAGGCTCCTGCTTTCACAGAATCATTCTGGGGTTCATGTGCCAGGGTGGTGACTCACACGTCATCATGGCACTGGTGGCAAGCCCATCTATGGAGAGATGATGATGAGAACTTCATCCTGGAGCACACAGGTCCTGCCATCCTGTACACGGCACATGCTGGGCCCAATGTGAACGTTCCCCAGTTTTTCATCTGCCCCGCTCAGACGGATGGTTGACGGCAAGCTCGTGGTCTTTGGTCAGGTGGAAGAAGGCATGAGCATGGTGGAAGCCATGGAGTGTTTTGGGTCCAGGAATGGCAAGACCAGCAAGAGGATCACCGTTGCTGACCGTGGACAACTCTAATTAAATTTGATCTGGATTTTCATGGTTTATCTTAAGCACCAGACCATGCCTTGTGTAGCCTGGGAAATCACCCTTCTATTCCCAATGTGCTTCCAGTATCGTTTAATCTTGTGCTCTCACTCCAGTTCCTCAGGTTTCCTACTTTCCTTATTCCCCCTCAGTCCAGCTGGAAAGCAGAGTTAAGTTTATGATTATGAAATAAAAGCTAAGCAATTAAAAAAAAAGTTCAAGGGATAAACACATGCTATTCTCTGATACTGATTATGGCTTTATATTAATGGTGTGAAATAGAGGTGTTAAAAGGCTAAGACATTTTCCAGAATCACACAATATTATGATAGCTGCAAACAAAATTGAGTTTTTCTTTTCACTGCAGGTCACTTCTTAACGATTATGTAGACAGCTCTTATTCGGAAGCACATTATTTGAATAATTAAAATATCTTGGTAGAGTTAGAAAAAACTTACTTGCCCCACGTACAAGATGGGAGGAATCAGAAGTTATTTCTTACAGATGGTACAGTAATTTTAAGGTATTTGACAGTGACATACAGCCATTATGGTTACTTTGGGGGATCAGGATAGGAAGATAACCAAATTCAGTATGTGAATTTATGTATTCCTCTCTCCAATAGGCAAACTAAGACCATCTTTTCTTGAGTACAGACTAGTTAAATATCTTTCAGGTGATTTTCTTGATGTCAGCAAAGAGTAGTGAATTGAGTGTGGTATAGGTACTAGTAAACAACAAATTTGTAGCAACTAGTAAACAACAGATTTGTAGCAACTGTCTTTCAGTTGCATGATGTTTTATGTTTGCTGGTGGTCTACTTACTAGGTAGAATTACTGTCACAGGTGAATCTATCAATTTTTAGTTTCCTAAAATGCCACGAGTTATGTTTAACTTTGATAAGTTCATATTAAGCATGAACTATGAAGAAAGGGATAAGTAAGCTAGAAGTTAACCAGTGTGATAGTATAGGCTGGAAAGTCCTGATAAATTAATAAGTAGTAAGTATGATAGCTAACTTTTTCTCTTGATTTTTCTAGTAGATGAACTAACTAGATGATGAGTTTTCTTTTTCATAAGATTGGTTCCTATGGCTTAATCCAAATAAATATTTTATTCTTTATTTTTAATAGGCAGCACTGTGTGCTGTTCATGTCATCAGGAAGGTTCCTGAACTTATGGAGATGTTTTTACCAGCAACAAAAAACCTCCTGAATGAGAAGAACCATGGTAATGTGATTTGGAGGCACCCATGAAGCACTAAGGGAGAAGGGGGAAGAGAAAGAGAAGAGGCATCAAGCACTGCTGGCTCTTTGTCTTCACACATTACAGTTGCCTTTCTGATGTGCTTAGACATTATCCAGGGAGATCTGGTCACCAATTATCTTGTCTGGTGTCCTAGTTTTATAACAGAGATTGAAACCATCACAGTAAACTTTGCCATTCACCTCAGAGCTATATAAAGCTACTAACATTCAGTTTAATGTACAAATGATTCTAGCCTTGGTTTTTGTGTTTCTAGAACCCTTTGATTTCCTGGGGTTTTTTTTATAATAGAAATTTTTTTTCCTACTGCCTTATAAAAAGAGAATGATGTTTATGAAAATTCTTTTAGTTCACTTGTAATTCTGAGAAATCAAAGGGTAGGTGGCTGTTCTTTCCCCCAATATTTTATTCCTATTTTGAACTCATGAAACACACACGTTGAGTAAAATTCATGTGTCTTAAATGTTAGAGGGGTGGTGGGGACAGAAGGTAATGCATATTTCATTTAATTAATATTTTTTATCTGTCTAGAAAATCCAAAAGATACTTGAACAAATGAATTGCTTAGGGCACTTATTTATTACATAATAAAGTTTTTGAATTTTCTCACTGACTCGGGAATAAGCAAGTTTATTTTGTCATTCACAAGTATGTTAGGTTTTTGATATTTTTTCCCTTAAATATTTAAAAATCTCGTTTAGATTTTTGCCTCATGAATTGTCTTATCAGAATTAAACCAATAACTTAATGATTAAGAATGGAGTAGATGGTGTCCAGCCAGCTCTTGCTCACCACGAACATGTCGGTTAATTGTATTCTCAGATGGCGAGGCACACATATTGGTTGTTGTTTTTTAGTAGTTATTTTTGTTATATAATTTTATTTTTATTTTACTGATCTGATCAGTATTACATCAGCAGGTGTCTATGTAAAGTGCTTCTTTTGTATTAAGCCCAATACTTAAATCCTTTGGTGATTTGGAAAGCAAAAGTGGTTAACTATTCTTTTGGAATTGACCTAGGCACTCAAAAGTTCTTTTAATCAGTTGAATAATATAGCCTTAATTTTAGTTTTCATTGTATCTTTTTTTGAAGGTGTCCTCCACACATCTGTAGTCCTCCTCACTGAAATGTGTGAGCGAAGCCCAGACATGCTTGCACATTTTAGAAAGGTAGGTGTCATTCTGTATGCCTAATCCTTTCTTGATTGAAAAATGACTTTCCTGAAAAGCACATAATCTGCTCATTTATAAATTTTCTTTAGAAAGCAGCCATGGAGCAGAACAGAAGATCTAACCGTCTCTCTTGTGTGATAGGGCTGGAAGCCAGATTGTTGGCAGACACGCCCATCTTTCTTGCCCTTTGTCTGCTGCTTTCACATTGCAGTCAGGAAATATAACCTGAGGTCAAATTACAAATAAGAATTTTTTGTGTGTGTGTATTTTAAAGGCAAGTAATTTTTTTAAAATATGTAAACTATGAGCAGAAATTTGATCTTGATTACTTTTACCTAACTCAGGGTCCTTAGCTTTGTTAGGTCCTCTCTCTCTCTTACTAGCTTTTCTCCCTCAGCACTCTGTAACAGAGTGAGGAAGACAGAAAGACTGTTCTGTGAGTAGTTAACATGTGTTTAACCCTTATAGGGACTGATCACTGTCAGTGAGACTCATTTTGTACTGTAGATCGAATGAGGTTTTAACAGCAACTCCTCTTCCTCCTCCCCTCTTTCTTAGATGTTCATGTCTTGATTAAATTATTGTAAAATAGTATGAGACCCGTATCTGTCCCTAATGCTTGCTTTGTATGTTTTGTTCCTGTTGTCTGTTTGGAATCCTGCTGTATGTTAGAATGAAAAGGTAAGAATTAACCCTCTTTTAGATGGTGCATGCTGGCCTCAGGGTCTTTAGTAGCTTTTGTGTATTCTCCACAAATGTGGCTTTTAACAATACACTCATGCTAAAGCTGTGCTTAATATGATTGAGTTATTTGTTCTAGCACTTTTGGCTAACTCCTTAGTCCAGTTTTGTCTTGTCACTTAAACTTCTGACTCCACAATAAGCCTTGGATTTCAGTTGTAGCCTTTCCTGCATTGTTAAGTCTCCTTATCTACCTCTCTCTCCCTTGAGAAACTCAGCAGTTTCCCAGTGGCTTTGATGTTGGCAATTCCAGATCAATCTGGAGCCTTGACACAAACACTGCTTCATTTTGAAGTAGACATTTTAGAGCCATATGTTGATAACCTCATATTAAATAAAAGCTTTGTATGAACTTCTGTGCTTTCAGTTCAGATTCAGAGCTTTTATTTCTTCCTTACCTTACTTAATCTTGCTTAGATTTTTTAAATATTAAAGAGATTTGAGGTAGAGTGGGTAGGCACCAACTGATTTTCATGGCTGCAGCCTTTCCCTCTGTCATCTTATTTTGTTTGTCCTGTCATCAGTTTTAGTAACTTGGGTTTTTTTGTCTGAAAACTAAAGCTGGGTTCCAAGAATTTGTCTGCTGAACCCTTAGATATGAATGCTTTCTGTCCCAGGATGATCTGATGTGATGTGCTGGTCTTTTGGTAGTGAATAAAACAATTTCTGCATTTCAGCAGGCCAAAGAAAAAGGGCTCCTCCAAGAAATAAATCAGATTTAAAGAAATAATTAGGGACATGTAGAAAAGCAGGCTCTTGGGAAGTATGCAAGGTGAACTGCTATTGGCAGAGCTTGGTAACTTGGATGATCTCAGTTTCATTACATTTTAAAGAAGTTTTAAAATTATACTATTCTTAAATCTAATACAAACCTGTCTGCACAGTTGATACATTTAATGAAAATTCTGCCTAGACTCTTCAGATCTTTATAGCTTAGATTAGTTATATCTTGGAGTTGTCCAAATTAGATTTCTCTTTAAGGACTTTTGAATCATTTTGAAGTGTTATGGCCAAACTTACTAAAATTTACATAGATTATGTTCTCTTGTATTTAGAAGTTTACTTATGTTGTGAATGCTTTGAGTGCATGCCTTGGGCACACTTAGCTTGGCTTTTTTAACACTTGCATTTTGGTACCCTTTTTTGGGGGGGCATGGGGATGGGGGCAGTGTCTGAAAACAGTGGGGGAAAGTTAGTTACAGCAGAATTGGAGCTCTTAGGTTGCACTTTAAAGGTATAATTCTGTTTACTTTGAACACTTCCTTAATTTTAGGTCATTACAGTTTATATAACTAAATTGGGGAAAAATAACTAAATTGGGCTTTCAATTAGAGACTGGAAAAGTTTTTACTGTAGTGTATGGTTTTAACGTGATTGTTCAACAGAAATGAATGCTAATATATAAAGCACTTGTTAATTTAACTTGGCGATAAATTTGCCTAGTATTTATTATGACTCCAATGGACAAGCTAAAGGAAGGACAAGAGGGAATTCCAACCATATGGAATGTGTCATCTCATTGGTGAGATACACAAAGCAGGCAACAAATCAGTGAAATTAAAGTGGAGATATTATAAGCTTTTGTGTAATCTCTGTTGTTGACAAAGGGAATAAACAGGTCCATCTTATGAAAGGAGAACTGTATTCTCTATGTGAGATTGTGTGCTTCAGTTTTAATATACCAGTTATAATTTAGGTATAATATTATTTTATATCCAAATTTTGGATGGATAAAAATTGAATATATTTGTGCTGTTTAGGTTTGTTAGATGTAGAAATGAAGAATCTTTTAGATATTTGTTTTGCTTGGTCTTCATAGACTTCTGGTGCATTGTTATTTGTAATATTGCATCTCTATAACTGGAATTTAAAAATCTAGTATGGATTTGTTTTTATCCAGATAAAATACATTCTTTCTTTAATACTTTGGCCTAAGTGCTCCTCAATTTTATTTATCAGATATCAACAATATCAGTAGAATTTGCTTGGACTCAGACTTTTGTACCCTTTTTTCTCAATTAAAGGACCTCTTTCCTTATTCATGAGACATTCTTTGATATTTACTAGATTTTGATGCATCTTTGTTTTCTGCAGCTTGTGCCCCAATTAGTCCGAATTCTAAAGAACCTCATCATGTCCGGATATTCACCAGAACATGATGTCTCTGGTATCAGCGATCCCTTTTTGCAGGTGAGGGTGAAAATAATCTTTGGATAAGTGTCATGAATTTAATATCTTTTGACTGGACCGTATTCTTTCACTTAAGTTTGTATTGGATAGTTCATTGATTGAATTAATGTATTACATAAATAAATGTAATCTATTTAGAGTAGTAGAATAAAATTAATAGCAGTAACTGTCAAAAGTACGTACTACACAGATTTGTTAGTCAATGTTTTATTCTTTAGTGTGGAGGGGCATAGTGGGGTGTTCTAACTTAATTCAGGCATGATGTGTGTCAAAGAAAAAGACTATGTCCTCTACTAAGGACTCATAACAACTCAGAGGAGCCCTGGGGGCACAATGGTTAGCATGCTCTACTGCTAATGGAAAGGTTGGCTGTTGGAACCAACCAGCTGTGTGTTAAGGAAAAGGCCTGTCAATCTACTCCTAGAAAGAATTCAGCCTAGGACATCCTATGAAGTAGGCGTACTCTGTCGTGGTGGTTTGCTATGAGTTGAAAGTTGTTATATAGGTAATGTTTAAAATTCTTCTGTTAGATATTGACCATTTTTTTTGGTATCTAAGGTTTCATTTAAATTGTTTACGTATCATACCAGGTGAGATTCCTATGTGCCAGTCAGTATGTATTGACTGTTCTCATATCTTGCACATTAGGTACGAATTTTACGGTTATTAAGAATTTTAGGACGAAATGATGATGACTCAAGTGAAGCTATGAATGATATCTTAGCACAGGTGAGTAGACCAGACTTGCATCATGTTAACTACTCATTTTAATATAGTGGGGTGATTGTGGTCATATGGGCAAATTTTGTCTATTTTCTTAATGGTTGCTGCAATGACACAATGTCTCTTGCTACCCCTGAATATTTCTGGAAGCCATGTTCTATCACTGATATACTACCCTCCGTCGTTTCAGGTTGCCACTAATACAGAGACTAGTAAAAATGTAGGAAATGCTATTCTTTATGAAACGGTTTTGACGATCATGGATATTAAATCAGAAAGTGGACTACGAGTAAGTCTTTCGAAATCTTTTTTTCTTTTCTAAACATTTAATTTAGGATGGTTGATTTAATTTTAGTTCTTTGGAATTGGATTTATTTCAGAGTTGTATTTAAACTATATAGTGCTGTTTTTACTAGCTGAGTTATCATTCCCACTTACTGAAGGCTTAGTATTGATTAGTGTAAGTTTGGAAGGCCTTAGATATTGTTAGACATAAATATTACTGACTGAAAAAAAGCACTTCACGTTAAGCTTTTACTTGCACCAGAGTGTGAATTGTACTCATTGCTTTCGGGAAGATGTCATATTTTAGTTACTTTTTTGTTTAGGAAATAAATATATGGAGTGTGAAACCCAAATAATACAAAAGGTACACGAAGAAAACATTTCTGACATGGAGCTTTCACATGTAGATCATCTCTGTTCTGTTTAATCATTTGCTGAAGGAAGTATTGGTACCATTTTCTTATGTACTTTTCTAGAGATATGGGAACCTTTAGTGCTGTAGTGGTTATGTGTTGGGCTGCTAACTGCAAGACTGGCAGTTTGAAACCACCAGTCGCTGTGGGGGAAAAGATGAGGCTTTTAAAATCCTGTCAGAAGTCACAGTCTCAAAAAACCACAAGGAAAGTTCTGTCCTGTCCTGTAGGGTTGCTGTGAGTCTGATTCATTCCATAGCACTGAGTTTAGGGTTTTTGTTTTTTTACTACGTGTATATATATTCTTTTCTTTCTTGGTTCTTTGTAAACGTTTCATTAGAAATACAAAAAATTAGACTTAGAGAAAAGTTGTATAAATAGTTTAGAGACTTTCTACTTAACATGCACCCTGCTTCCTCTAATACTAACATTTTGCAAAACTATAAAAAGTAGCTGTGAGTTGGACTCGACTCCGTGACAGTGAATTTGGTTTGAGGTTTATAGTTCAATTATCAGTACTAAGAATTTACTGTCAGGACTATACTGTTAATTAAGTTGCAGACATTATTCAGATTTCACCACTTTCTCTAGTAATGTCTATTCCAAGAGCTGTGGTCCCATATTGTACTTAATTGTCACCTCTCTTAGTCTCTTCCTTTCTGTGGCAGTTTCTTAGTCTTTCCTTGGATCATGTCACTTTGAAGACACTGGTCTTTGTAGAATGTCCCAGGACTGCTGTTTTCTCATAATGAGAATGAGGTTAAGCTTTTTGGCAAGCCTGCCCACAGAAATGATGTGCTTTCCTTCTCAGGGCACTAAGCTGTCTGTTTGTTTCATTTCTGGTGGTGGTAACTTCGATCATTTGGTTAAGGTGATGTCTGCTGTGTTCTTCCATGGTAAAGTTGTTATTATTATTATTTTGCTTTGCAATTAGAAATGTTTTGAGAGAGACAGTTTGGGACCATGCAAATAACTTATTTTTCTCAAACTTATTCTCAATAATTCTAGCATCTGTCTGTGACTCTTGCCTGCCACTGTTACTTAGTGGTATTTTAATGCTAATTTTCTTTTTCCTTTATTCTTTCCACATTAATTAAAATTATTTTGTAAGGAATTAAAATTTTTTTCAGAAAAGTCATCCTATCCAGCCACTTAATAATGCTGGAATTGCTAACCTACCTGTAGAGTACAATATTTATATGCCGTTATTTTTTTCCCTTAGCCTTTACAGTATCCAGTCAATAATTTAGCCAGTACTTAGATTAGTTCTTTTCCTCTTTCACCTTATAAAAAAATGCCAACATACAATATACTTTGTTCTGCAGCTTGCTTTTCTTAGCCTAACATTATCTTGGAGATAGATCTATATGCATGGGTAGAAACCAGTCATTTCTTTTTAATGACTTACATAACAGTCTATAGTATATTTAGTAAGTTTTTTTGTTAATGGACATTTAGGAGGCTTCCTATCATTTGTAATGACAGATAGTATTGCAATAAGTTTTTGTGCATATGTATATCACATACATCCATAGAAGTGAATTGCTGAAGCAGAGGATGTGTTTTTATTTTAAATAGTTACTGCCAGATTTGCCTCAAAAACTACCAGTATTATTTTCCCATTAAACTCCAAAAATTAAAATGAACTAATTCTAGCAATTACTATTGAAATAAAATGATACTAAAAATTTGTTTAAACTATTTAAAGGTGGAAGAAGGAGTTCCTGGGAGTTGGGGGAGAGAGAGTAAGTGGAGCTGATATCAAAGAGTTCAAGAAGAAAGAAAATGTATTGAAACTGATTGTGGTAGCAGTTGTAAATACTGCTCGATGTTATTGATAATGATATCTGTAAGAGCTCCCAATAAAATGATTAAAAGTTTTAAAAATTTGCCTTTAGATTTATATTTACATATTTATGAGCAGTCTCTAAAGTACCACCCATCACCATTAAATAGTTTTCCCTCCATTCAAGGTCAAGTAGTGATTCATAAGAATCAGGAAACAATACACATATTTGAACTCTTCTAGATTTTTAACTTATGCTATTTCTCTTTAGGTCCTAGCCATAAATATCCTGGGTCGTTTCCTTTTGAACAATGACAAGAATATTAGGTAAGTCTATTGAACTGTTACCTTGGAGAGTATAAACTCAGTGTTTTCAAGAAGTGACTAGCTAATTATCATACTTGTAACATAATCTAGAACTTCGACCTAGGGTTTTTATTTTCAGTCTAGTCTTAAAACAATTGCTTTATAAAGAATTTGAGGAATTAACTTCATAGCATTTTATTCCTGTTTGTATTGGCAAAGTTGCTCTGTTAAGAGCAAGATGGTAAATATTGTAGGCTTTGTGGATTATGTAGTCTCTGTGGTGACTACTCAACTGTGCCCCAGTAGCATGAAGGCACCTACAGATAATGTGCTCCAGGAAGCTTGGATCACAAAAATACAGAGAGCTGCTGGCTGGATTCAGAGTCCTGTTAAGAATTAAGAATAAAAATGACTACATTTTAGGAAGCAAATCTGGAAAGTCTTTCTGAACTCCAGCTCAGTTTTTTTTTAAGCAAATTATTTGAACAGTATAGACTTCTTCTTTTTTTGCTTTTTATATATATATGTAAGCCTATGGTATCATTAATGCATTTAAAATGCATGTATCTTTATTGTTACATAGTTAGGGCTTAAAATTATTTATTTATTTTTCATAGTTAGGGATTTTGCATTATGAATTTTAAATTTACCTCCTTGTAATTTTGTTTCTTCCAGATATGTAGCTCTCACATCTTTGTTGAAAACTGTACAGACAGATCATAATGCAGTACAGAGGCACAGAAGCACAATCGTGGACTGTTTAAAAGATTTGGATGTCTCAATAAAACGGTAACAAATTGTGTATCTTTATCAGTCTTGTATTTTAGTTCACTAACGTGAGGGAAACATCATTGATAGTTCTATATAGCTAGCTCACTTGATTGATTGTAATAGTTTAGAGAGCCAATGTGTTAACAGTTATGCAGTTAGTCATTGTATTCACAGGCAAACTGTCTACAGATTGAATCCCCCTTTTAAAGAGAATTGGCTTGGGAGAAGGTTAGGTCACCAAGAAATACTGATGTGCATACTGAAGATGCCCTTGACCCTGATAAAATGTAACACATACAAGTGAACTGGGCTGTACTTAATAGAAATACTGAGCTTTGTGTGCTGGAGGATGAAAACAAGGAGTGATCCATCGGCTGAGTGTCCTTTCACAATGTCGAAACTCGAATTGCTGACAGCACACATTCTCACAGTTAATCTGCCCCAGGATTTTGGAGCCAGTCATGCTTCTTAGTAGAGTCCATCTAGGACAGCAGTTCTTAACCTGTGGGTTGTACCCCTTTGGGGCTCAATCAACCCTTTCACAGGGGTTGCCTGATTCAAAATTACAGTCATGAAGTAGCAATGAAAGTAATTTTATGGTTGGGTGGTCACCACAACATGAGCAACTGTATTAAAGGGTTATGGCATTAGGAAGGTTGAGAGCCACTGCTCTAGGAAGTATGGTTAGGCAGCAGATAACAGTTTCAAAAGGCTACATTTCTTCTTTGTATAGAGTGCCAGAAGAAATGCTAATATTAGCCTCTGAAGTTTTTGGTTATAAAATGTGGATTTTTTAATCTAGAACAAATTAGATCACCTTAAGCATTTTTTTTGGTCTTTTTTGTTTTTTGGTCTTTTTATTCCTTAACTTTCTTGAACTAACTCTACCTTAAGCATTTATTGTATTTCTATCATTCGTAAAGAACAGTTGTTACACACTTCGGCAATATAAAGACATCTTAGACCTAAACTCAGTGATTTCAATTTTTATTTTGTGTTTTGTGAAGTTTTCTAAGTACCTTGTCAGTTGATTTCCAGAGGAGCCAGTGAGAGAAACTAGGCAATTATTTCTTTCCCCAATTAGCAGATTAGTTAAAGTCCCAAAGGGATCACTTGGCTTAACCTAAATCTAACCTTTGTAAAGGGGCATACCTAGGGAGAGAACTCAGACAGTTGGTTCTCATTGTGTTATTTCTCTGGAGCTCATTACTGGGCTTTGTATTGAAAAGGCAAAACCTTAAAAAAGACCCGATTTTTGGAAAGAAAAAAAAAAAAAAGAAAGAAAAAAAGAAAAGGCAAAACCTGTGTCTTTTCAGTAGTCTGTGTACAAAGTAAGAGCTTACACGCAGGGACTACACTGCGTCATTTCAAACCCTAGCTGTCCTTTAGCAGGTGTATGACTTCCATCAGGTCACTTTACTGCAGTGACTCAGTGTGTGTCCTGTGTGAAATTCAGGAAGAAAACCAATCCAAAACCATTGTCATTGAGCCAGCTCAACTGATATTTTTTGGAAGTCAGTACATAACATGTCTGAAAGTATTGATTCACATGTAAAGATGCTTATAGTAATCTTGTACATTTTAAACATTGAACATTTCCATTTTTGCCTTGATTGCCAAATTTGACAAGCAGTTATGAAAACCATGTTAGCTCTTAGAATACTCATTTTCTCTCTTAATTTTGTAAATTCTAATTAATTTTCTGAATAGCTTTTTATATAATGTATGCTATATCATTGTTGGACAGAAGTAGAATGAAGTAGAGTGTAAAAGTAGTCATGTAAAAATTGGTCATGTTTTGAAGATACTAATGCAGAGTTGTATTTTCATTAGGTGATAATTAAAAAAAATAACTAGGTGATAATTTTGAGGCTCTCTTTTTGAGGGCCTTAAGTAACTTAGAATTTTAGCTTCAGAGAATGAACTATTGAGCGCAAACTACACTTTTGGGCTTTAATAGTGTATCATTTAGGGATTTTGCAGAGTTGGAGGTAAGATTAGAGTTGAATTGAGATCCAAAATATTAAAACTAATGATTACATGAGAATTAAATTGATGGGTAGTGGGACAAGAGGAAAGTAAAAAGAAAAAGAATTTGCTGGGTTATCTTGTGTATAGAGATAAGGCACATAAAATTATGCAAGGACATGAACATATCTGTCAGGGCTTGTGTTTCATAGAGAACATACCTAGGTCTTTGTTTTATTCTCCTGGTAAATAAAACTCTTTCTCCCCTGCAAGGCGTGCAATGGAATTGAGCTTTGCCCTAGTGAATGGGAATAATATCAGAGGCATGATGAAGGAATTACTTTATTTTTTGGATTCATGTGAGCCAGAATTTAAAGCTGACTGTGCATCTGGAATATTTCTTGCTGCAGAAAAGTAAGATTTAATTTTTTATCTTTACACTGGGTCATCGATGCTTGGAACTTTCAGAAAATGTTTTTAAAAAATTAAAACACAGGGGAAATGGTATTTGTGCAAAAAGCATTAATGTATCTCCAGTTCCCAATTATAAGTTAACTTTTAAAAGTTAACTTTCTCAGCTAGCTTTAAAAAATTTTATTAATACCAAACAACAACAACTACCCAAAATCACTTTTTAAAAAAAAAATTGTTTTGTTGGGGCGCATACAATTTTTATCACAATCCATACATACATCCATTGTGTCAAGCACATATGTACATTCGCTGCCCTCATCATTCTCAAAACATTGGCCTTCTACTCTAGCCCCTAATATCAGCTGCCCATTTCCCCCTCCCTCTGCACTCCCCCCTCCCTCATGAACCCTCCATAATTCACAAATCATTATTGTTTTGTCATAAGTTACACTGTCCGACGTCTCCCCCTCCCCTCTTCTCTGCTGTCCATCCTCCAGGGAGGAGGCTATACCCAAAAATCACTTTTATAAAATCTCTTCTCTGTCTTTAACTTCTCATCTAGAGTATCTTTTTTTTTTGTATGTGAAAGAAATAGAAAAATAACCACCTGTGTGTTAGTCTGGGTACTTTTAGAGAAACAAATCCACAGAAATTTATATGTGTAAGAGAGTTTTTTTTTTTTTAAGAGAGTTTTATATAAAGGTTAAGTGCACATCAAGAAAACATCCCAACCCAGTGCTGCCCTAGCCCACAAGTCCAACATTAACCCATATGTCCAACACCAATCCACAAAATCCTCACCCATCTCACAAAACACACACTATGATGCTGACAGGGCTGCATTGGGGTAGGTTCATGCGGCTTCTCCTCGGGGATGTCTTGCTGGAAGTGATCCTTGCCAGCTGAAGCAGGGAACTGGCCAAGGCAGCTACACCCTGGTCCGACCATCACAAAGAAAGAGACCTAAGAACTCGGAAGACAAGCCTCATCAATCCATTTATCTCTCCGCCCTTCAGTTAACCCCACATGTATTTATCGGCCAGGTTGGCACAATAAACTAACTCATCCTGAATTTAAGTAAAATCTTAAGGAAGATGTATGTTCAGATTTTAAAAGTAGGGCTATTCTCATTTCACCTTTAAGATAAGGGAATAAATAAGTTTCTCATTCTGATGCTTGGGTCTGGAAATAGGAAACAGTCCCTTTTTCCCCCTCCTGTCTTTGTCTCTGCCTTCTCTTGAATTTATGTTTTGTTTTCTGGGAAACCAGAGACAGTTTCATTTGTCACCTTAGAACTCTTGTAATTTTATATGAAGCATCAGAGTTTGACTGTATTCCATTTCATTGCCCTTTGAAATGTGGTAATCCCCTGGCAAGACTTGAAGAAGAAATATTTCCAAATGTGATCACTTATCCAAGGGAACCTAAAAACCACTAGGAAGGGGTTTTCAAATGTCACTGCACACAGTTTTGTTTTTTTACCCTGTGGTATTGTTTTCTCAGGTATGCACCTTCCAAACGATGGCATATAGACACAATTATGCGAGTTCTAACAACGGTAAGTAGCTTCTCTCAGCCAACATTTACTAAGTGCTGGTAAATAAGGCAGCAAAAGCCCTTGTTCTCCTGTAGATTCTAGTGTGGGAGACTGGAAACATAGTGAAATAAAATGATTGGGATAAGTGCTAATAGAAAACTAAAGCAGCGTAAGGAAGTATAATGATAGCAGGATAAGATGGGATATGTAGCAAATGGATGAATATTTTAGATAGGGTAGTTGAAGGTAACATTTGACTAGAAAACAAAGTGAGCAGCAAGGCATGCAAAACTCTGGGGAATTAGTGTACGAATTAGAGGAAAAAGTGCAATAAAGCCCTGTGCTGGCAATAAGCATGGCCGTCTGGAGAGATGAAGCCAGTAATGTGAAGAGGAGACAAGAATGGTAGATTTGAGGTGTGAGAGAGGGACCATATTGTGTAGCGTCTTATGGAAGTTTGGGTATTACTTTGAATATGATAGGAAGCCGTTGTTTGGAATGACTGCATTTATTCTAGGCTTAGAATTACTATTTTTGAAGTTATCACTTTCTTTGCCAAATCTTTAATTTTGGAGCGTCTCTGAAGGGATTTTAAAAAGTTGTTGAGAAAATGCTATTGTCTTTTAATTCTGTTTTACAACAAACTTTTTGAATCTTTGTGGACATAAGGATTAGACATTGAGGTAAAATGTAGTGGAATGAGAATAAAACATAGTATATTTATATCTAGTCATGTCATCAGAAGTAGCTTATTTTAAAGGAAAATATTTACAAATTTTCACATAAAAATGAAAAAAAAATTAAGCTGATATGACAAAAGGAAAACAAAATCTACAAAGTCAAAAGGCAAATAACCAGTAGGGGGAAAATATTATAATCAAGACTATTTTAATATTTTCAATCTGTGGATACATACATGTAATAAAAATGAAGTATTCTAATGGAAAATTTCCAAGACCATTTGAACACACAGTTTACAATGTAGAAAGAAATAACTAATCAACATTTGAAAAATTACCCTTATAAGTAACTATTAAATAACATGGAAGAAAAGGAATATTTTTTACTTATCTTTTTAATATTGATTTGGAAATAGAGAAACAGGTAGTACTTTCCATTTTAAGGGGATATAAAATGGCATAATATTTCTAAAATATAGTTTCGCAGCATGTAGCAAAACTTTAAATTTATAGCTTTTAATTCCTTAATCTAGATATTAAGACTGTATTTTGGAAAAGTAAAACAGTAAGTACACTAAGATGTACACACAAAGATGTTCATCTGCAGTCTTGTTTATAAAAGGGCAAACTAGGAATATCTAGAAATTCCCAAATGGGATTTGGTTAAATAAATGATGGGGATATTAACATCAATGTTACATCATATAGATTGTGTGACCAAAAATGTGATCAGTCAGTGTTCCATGGTAACTTGAGAAGAATATGTATTTTTCTGTTGGCTAAAGTATTCTAATTGTAAATGTCAGTTTGATTACATTCTGTTGGGAGCCGGCCCTAGCAGACATTCTCAAGGTCCTTCAGTGACCGGCCCTAGTGGAAAATTACTGGCAGGTGGTTATGCCTTAAAAGATATCTTAGTCACCAAAGCTTCCTTGTTCTATGAAAATGTCTGAGACAGTTTGCAGTCTGTGTTACCCCCGTCTCCCCCCGAAGTGTTCTTTGACTATTGTGCAGCTGTAACTGTTCTGCAGCTACGTGACCTTGGTTGGTTATCCTCCCCTCTCTTCACCCATTGGTTGAAATACTAAGCACTCATTGGACTACAAACATACCATATTGAGAATATGATGGATAGCCGATTGGTTAACATTCTTATGCTTCATTATAATATACATGTTGGATTGGATACTGTGCAGCACACCTTATTAGAATATGCACCTCCCAGTTCCTCTTTATATTCCCCTAACTTTGCCCAAATAAACGAGCTTGATCAGCATTTGTCTTGCTCCACGTCTCCGTGTCTTTCTTTCCATCCAGGTTCGTCTTTCCCCCCAGGGTCCTGCTCGTGCGTCCCGCTGGCCGGGACGCATCAACATTCATGTTTTTTTCTTCTTTACAGCACTCTGCTTGCTCTAGTTAGGGGAGAATGTAAATGTCTAAATCATGTCACAAATGGTCTTGTTAGTTTCTTATTCTGCCTGCTCTCCCCTTTTTTTTCACATTTTCCCAAACAACTTCTTTTATTCTTGGGTTTCTTAAGAATATAAATATTCAAATCACCTTTTTTTCTCCTTTTTAAAACACACCTGGGTAGACCAGCTTTCGGTGTTTTAATTCATACCCACTGGTCTGTCCAAGTGGCTATTAGTAGCCATGGATTCCACTGTTTGTATGTCTACTCTAGTCTAGTTACTTATGTGCTCTAACAAGGCCAAGATTTAGTGTCCCCACGGGAGGTTAAGTATCGTTACTGTGTTCCATAGTGACAGATTATATCTCAAATTCATCTTGTCAGAGGAAGAATGTATCAACGAGGCCAAGTGTTTTCTTTTGTTGTAGTTTTGTTTTGAAAAGATAATTGCATATAAATATTTTCTATTCTTAAGACTAATGGTTGGTTCTATTTAACATTTATAAAGAATTTAAATAACAATATTCTCTTAAATAAAAGTTTAAAAAAAAATTACTAGCTATTAGTCTCATTTATTTATGCCTGTTTTAATTGTCTCTGTACATCTCTCCTCGCTCCAGTCCACAGAATAGTTTGCCACTGAAGCTGAGCCATAGCTGGTTTTAACATGGGTGCTCGAGGTTTTAGGGAGGAGAGGAGATAAGTTATTCGTTAACACTGTGTTTTATTATAATTCAGTTCCCAGTGAATATACTTCTTGACATTTTGGGAATGTTAGTCATTACTTTTTTTAGTATAAAAGGCTTTTCTTGATATTTTAAACCTTTGTAATTTTTCTTTTACTTTTGACAAAGAGTACGTTTTATCATTTCCAAACAACATTTAAAAAATTTAAATGCTCTTTTTAGCTGAATGAAAACTTGAAGAGCTGTTTATGCACCTGAAAATTAGAACCAACTTTGCCTTTAAGTGTTTTGAGGAAGTCTCCCAATCAACAACAATAACAACAGTTAGCTCTTGTTACCGTTTTCTGTGTTCCTGAGGATAAACTGTCTGCATTTTCTTTTAGGCAGGAAGTTATGTTCGTGATGATGCAGTCCCTAATCTGATCCAGTTAATTACCAATAGTGTGGAGATTCATGCCTATACTGTCCAGCGCTTATACAAAGCAATTCTTGGTGATTATTCTCAAGTAGGTCCTTCATTTGCTTTTCTTTCTAATTTACTGGAGAAAAAGCTTTTGTTTTCCTACCCTATCATAGTCTAACATTCTGGATGTGCCTAGGTTTTGACCTTATGATTAGAAGACTCATGACTTGGAGCAAGTATTTTGAAAGAAGCGAAGTACTTGACCAATATTAACTTTCATTTTATAGCAACCTTTGGTACAAGTGGCTGCATGGTGTATAGGTGAATATGGAGATCTTCTCGTATCAGGCCAGTGTGAAGAGGAGGAGCCTATTCAGGTACCACTATTACTCACCAAGGCGGGAACCATCAGTGCTTTGGGATATAAAGGAAGAATGCTTAATGGGAAGCTGAGGTTGATTTCTCAATGGCTTGCACAAAGCAATACTATAATTATTTTGGGGAAGCTGTTATTCTTTAACTTGATATTTTTTGTCCATTGTGAAAATTTAAAACTGCTTTAGAAGTTTCTTTACTCCTTCACCCCCATTCCTCAACTGACTTCTAGGAGGGCGCTTCCAAGCTTTGGGAGGAAATTAACATTATTTTCCCATGAACTTTTGAAAGCCCTGTTGTATTTTTTTTTCTCCTCTTAATCTCTGGCTGATGGACAAGAAGAAATGAGACCTGGCCCATGTTCTCATTTGTTCCTTATTAGAAGTTGTGATAGCACTTAAACTATGAATCCTTTCCTTTTCTTATATTTATTTCTCTTACAACTATGCCTTAAAGCTATGTTTACCTTCCTGCTATCTGCTCTGGTTGGTGGTTTCCAGCCCAGAGAGTTCCTCTGGCAAACCACAGGCTGTGAAGCAACTTTTGTAGTGGAAGGATTATCATTCTGGTGGCATCCTGTGACTTGGTATCAGATTTATGTGTTTATCACTACTATTCAGTCTCCCGTTTTTGCTCCCCAGGTAACAGAGGATGAAGTTTTGGATATTTTAGAAAGTGTCCTAATCTCTAATATGTCCACCTCTGTGACACGAGGTTATGCCCTCACTGCCATTATGAAGCTTTCAACTCGATTCACCTGTACCGTAAAGTGAGTATTAAGGAAAAGTTGGGTCCACTGGGTTTTTTGACAGTAAAAAATAAGAGAAATAATTTCATGTACAGATAGAAGAGCAGTGAAATGAATTTGCATGTATCTATCATCCTGTGGTAAACATTGGATTGCTAACTATAAGGTCAGTGGTTCAGACCCACCAGGCTTTCCACCTGTGTGCTCTCGTAGAGATTTACAATGCCATAGAAACCCTATAGAGGACCACTCTGGCACTGGGTTTCTGTTCGATTTTATTATCCTTTCACCAATGTTCTCATGTCCTTCTCTTCACCATGACATCGGCTGCTGTGGATTGTTTTTAAGGTGAAAGTTAATGTTTTAAAAATGAGATTTCTTTATACCTTTTGTTTTTTGTGCCTTAAAAGTAGAGGAGTTATTTCCCTATGTAAGGGTTCTGATTTATTTATTTGAAATGTCTTAATAGGAAGAAAATCCTGATGGTTTTCGGGTTGTAAATCTTTAAGTTCTTCACTCTGTTAAGTCCATTTTGGGGTCAGTTTCTCAGACACGCATATATGGGTTCATTCTCGGATTTCCTACTTAAGGTCTTATGAATATGGTGTTTTTCAGCCTGTGTGATCATGAGGTGTCGATGGGATCAGGTATCAGGCATCGAAGAACAAAAATCATATCATTGTGAATGAGGGGGAGTGCGGAGTGGAGGCCCAAAACCCATCTGTAGACAACTGGGCATCCCCTTACAGAAGGGATGCAGGGAGGAGACGAGCCAGTCAGGGTGTAGTGTAGTATCGATGAAACATACAACTTTCCTCTAGTTCTTTAATGCTGCCTCCCCCACATTCTCATGATCCCAGTTCTACCTTACAAATCCGGTGAGACACTGGAACAGATAAGAACTGGAAACAAAGAATCCAGGACAGATTAAAAAAACCCCTCAGGACCAATAATGAGAGTAGCGATACCTGGAGGGTAAGGGTAAGGTAGGCTAGAAAGGGGGAACCAAATTCAAGGATCTACATATAACCCCCTCCTTGGATGGACAACAGAAAAGTGGGTCAAGGGAGATGTCCAAGAGTGTAAGACATGACAAAATAACAATAATTTATAACTTATCAAGGAATCGTGAGGGAGGAGGGCGGGGTAAAATGAGCTGATACCAAGGGCTCAAGTAGAAAGCAAATGTTTTGAAAATGATGATGGCAACAAATGTGCATGACAAAATTGATGTATGTATGGGTTGTGATAAGAGTTTATGAGCCCCCAATAAAAAGATTTAAAAAAGAAAAGTTTTTCACTCACTTTTTAAAAAAACCTTTCATTGTGAATTGGGTTGAAATTTAAAGCACAAATTAGTTTTCCACTGAACAATTCATACAGTTTGCTTCATGTCATCGACTGCAATCCCCACAATGTAACATCACTTATTCCATTTCTTCCCTGTATTTCGTGCTTCCATTCCTTCTTTTCATGCTTCTGAACCTTTTCCTTGAGTCAGTGTTGACTTTCTGTTCTCAAATGGTTGATTGTTCTAAGGTGTGCATACCTTTCTAGTGTATGGTTTCCCTTATAGACCTGTCTTTTGTTTGCCTGAAAATTGAGCCATTGGGGCAAGTTCATTTCCACATATGAAGGATGGCTTAGAGTTATAGTCTTAGGGCTCCACCAGTCTCTAGCTAATCAGTAAGCTTAGTCTTTTTTAATAATTTTGGGGTTTTTCCTCTCTTTGTAATCATTGGGAACTTTTACAGATATCATAATATTCCATAGTTCAATCACATCAAGCAGTGTTATACAATTGCTACCACAATCAGTTTCAAAATATTTTCTTTCTTCTTGAACTTCTTGATAGCAACTTCCCTTTATCCCCTACACCCCATCATACCCCCCTGGAACCCTTAGTTCTTTCATTTTTTTGTATAGTAGTTTTTAGGGGGTGGTGGTGCAAATCTTTTACATAGAGTTCTGTTGTTTGATCCCATTGAGAAGGAGGGGTTATATAGTCATCAGTGCTATCACCTCCCCACTCCCACCTCCTTTCCGTACCCTCAAGGACCCATTATTCCAGTTACTGTTTCTGATGGGTTATCTGTCTTGACTTTCATGTACCGAACGATCTTAAATATACAAATGATCATAGGGAACTCTAACTTGATTAATATTTTCACTCACTCTTTGAATTAAAAACTTGGGGCCAGCATTTGTATGCTGTAGTCTTCCTCTGTATTTGATAGACCCATCTTAGTTTAAAATTAGGAAGAAATGAGTGGAGTGTGAAGTTTTCCTTTTATGATAAAATAATAATTGGTACTGTTTCCTAGCAAATTTTAGACTATGGACTGTTTAACAGAGAAAAACCTAGCTCTGTAACTAAAACAATATGCTGATGAATGGTGTTGGTGAATAGTGTCAGATAGTTGGGTGAATAATGAAAGTTTTTGTAAATTAGCAAGGTGGGCATTTCAATTTCCTTAACTAGAAAATTAACTTGGATGTTATTTTTCTGATTTTTTATGAATTTATTTTGAGTATTTGATTTAATTTGTATATTTATTCCAATAGCCGAATTAAGAAAGTGGTTTCTATCTATGGAAGCAGCATTGATGTGGAACTCCAGCAGAGGGCAGTAGAATATAATGCACTTTTTAAGAAATATGACCACATGAGGTATGTGAAAAACAAACAATGCTTGTACTTCTTAGCATCCTGCTCAAACTGCCATGATAAGCTATAAGGAAATCACTTGGGCTTAATTAACCCTTACAATCCTACTTAGGTGCTCTGGGGGAGTAGGGTGTTACTCTTTGGACTATTAACTGTAAGATTAGCAGTTTGAAACCACAGCTGCTGAAAAAGATGAGGTTTTCTACTCCGCTAAAGAGTTGCAGTCTCGGTAACCCACAGAGGCATTTTTACCATGTCCTGTAAGGTTGTTATGAGTCAGAATTGACGATGGCAGTGAGTTTGGTTTGATTTTGAGATTGTTCTGTAAAAGAGCACAATTCTCAAAGACAGATGTTCGTTACTCATTAAGCTAAGGGAAGTATCTTCTTGATGGGTCAGTGTCAGTACCATCTTTCACCCCGGTTTCTCTACCCCTGAAATACATAGTTGGTATTTAAGCAGATAGTATATGCAATCAAGATTTCTTGCTTACCCTTAATGCTGCCAGAAATTTAGGTTATTATTCCTGTAATCCAGCTCTGTTTTATTGTGTGTGTTAGCAGTAAAGTGGGGAGATAACTCTCCGTGTTTGACTTCTACATAGTCATAGTCATTGCTCTGGTAGGGAATCTTGGTAAACTGCATAGAGTTTAACCACTTCAGATTCTTCTAGGTCTGCCTTGCTTGAGAGAATGCCTGTCATGGAAAAAGTGACCACAAATGGCCCTACTGAGATTGTGCAGACAAATGGAGAGACAGAACCTGCTCCACTAGAGACCAAACCACCACCCTCTGGGCCACAGCCCACCAGTCAGGTAGCTTTTTACTAGCTTCTTATCTGCCTCTTAAATGTTTTTGGTTTGGTTGGATGTCTCCCTTCTCATTGTTAAGTATTGAAAGAGTTTTGCATTAGATATGGATTAGGCAAATGACCAATGAGTTGAGTTATTACTTTCTTGTTTAGGCCAACGATTTATTGGATTTGTTGGGAGGAAATGACATAACACCTGTTATTCCAACTGCACCTGCAAGCAAACCTACTTCTGCTGGTGGAGAACTTCTTGATTTGCTGGGAGACCTTAACCTTACAGGTGAGGTCAGACTGGAACTATGTAACATTTGGATAGGGGAAAAAAGCCCCCTAGGAAACCACGCATAGCACATGAGTCACTAGAACATGGGAGAGGCTAAGCAAGATTAGAATCTTGTGAACTTCTAGAATATAAACTGACATGCTAATCTAAAGATAATTCATAGAGATTTTCAAAGGAACAAGTTTGAATTTTTGAAGAATAAGTTATTCATAATATTTTAGGATAGGAAGGACTTCCTTTGGGCCACAATGAGTATATCTTGAGTTATCTCTGGTTTTAGCTAGTGTCCTAAGACATCACATTTTTTAAAAATCATTTTATTAGGGGCTCATACAACTCAACGCAATCCATACATATGTCAGTTGTGTAAAGTACATTCATAAATTCATTGCCCTCATCATTCTCAAAACATTTGCTCTCCACGTAAGCGCCTGGCATCAGCTCCTCATTTTTCCCCCTCCCTCCCTGCTCGCCCCTCCCTCATGAACCTTTGGTAATTTATAAATTATTATTTTGTCATATCTTACACTGTGTGACGTTTCCCTTCACCCACTTTTCTGTTGTCCGTCCTCCAGGGAGGAGGTCACATGTAGATCCTTGTAATTGGTTCCCCCTTTCCACCGCACCCTCCCTCCACCCTCCTGGTATCACTACTCTCACCACTGGTCCTGGAGGGATCATCTGCCCTGGATTCCCTGTTTCCAGTTCTTATCTGTACTAGTGTACATCCTCTGGTCTAGTCAGATTTTTAAGGTAGAATTGGGATCATGATAATGGGTGGGGAGCAAGCATATAGGAACTGGAGGAAAGTTGTATGTTTCATCATTGCTACACTGCACCTTGACTGGCTCGTCTTTTCCCCGCGACCCTTTCCGTAAAGGGATGTCCAGTTGCCTACAGATGGGCTTTGGGTCTCCACTCCTCACTCCCCCTCATTCATGATAAGATTTTTTGTTCTTTGATGCCTGACACCTGATCCCATTGAAACCTCATGGTCACACAGGCTGGTGTGCTTCTTCCATGTGTGCTTTGTTGGACTAGGCAGTGTTTCATTGCGTTATATATACTATGAGTGGGAATCAATCAGTGACCCCTAACAACAATACCCAGACATATCATTATATTTCCCTATCATTATACATAAATATATTTACATATGTACATACCTGTATTTAGACCTCTATAAATGCCCATTTGCCTTCTAGTTCTTTATTCCTTTTAATTTCCTATTGTCTCACTATCATATTCGGGTTTCAGTAATTCCTCTTGATTACATTGCCCTTGATCAAGCCTTACCAGGCCTCCTATACCCTCTACACCATAGCTTTGAGATGACCTGTTTTCCCTTGTCCCTGGGTTTGTTAACAACACTACCTTTCCCCCTACCTCCCCCCGCAACTGTTGGTCCTGTTGTTTTCTCCTCCAGATTGTTCATCCAGCCTATCTTATTTAGACAGACCTGCGGAGATAATAACATGCACAAAAACAAGACAGAGCAAAACTAAGCAACAATATACAAGAAAACAACAACAAATAATAACAAAAAACAAAACAAAGCCCAACAAGAAAGAAAACCTTGTATTTGGTTCAAGGATAGTTTGTTGGCCTTTAGGAGTGTTTTCCAGTCCAGTCTGTTGGGGCACCACACCCTGGCCCCAAAGTCCACCTTCAGCATTCCTTGGGACCTCGTCGCTCTGTTCCTTTGCTGTTCTGTTGCACCCTTGTGTTTTGCCTCGGTGTGGTGGGATCAGATCGGGCGCAATTCCCACACTGTGTCTCCGGCGTTATCCCCTTTAGTGCTATGAGTCAGTTAGGGACGTTGTGTCTCATAGTGGGGCCAGTCATGTGGTCCTCTCTGTGGTCTGGCTGCTGTAATCAGGAACATTGTCTTCAAGGCCTGGTGGGCTAGGATGTGCACACTCTCTCCTCCTCCCCCTTTATCTGCTCCCACGTGCTCCGATCAGATATGTCCCTCTCCCAGAACTGCAAATTCAGTGTCGTCCTTTGAAATAAATTCTTCTGGGAGGAGGGGCAGGTGTACACATACTAGTTGGGATTGGGACTGGCCACTCAGATCCCTCCACTGGTCCCTTGCTCTAAGCTGGCATGTTGCATTCACATCTTGGAGCACTGGGTTGAAGTCTGGTCTCTCTTTCCCTGTGGAAATATAAATAATACCCTCCCCTTTAGTGGGTTAGTGCCCTGTGCCCCCACTACCCATTTCTTTTTCTTTTTTAAAAAATCATTTTATTGGGGGCTCGTACAACTCTTATTACAATCCATACATACATCCTTTGTGTCAAGCACATTTGTACATTTGTTGACAGCATTATTTTCAAAACATTTTCTTTCTACTTGAGCCCTTGGTAAAAGCTTCTCATTTCTTTTTTCTTTTAATTAGGGGCTCATGCAACTCTTATCACAATCCCTACATACATCAATTGTCTAAAGCACATTTGTAGATTCATTATCCTCATCATTCTCAAAACATTTGCTCTCCACTTAAGCCCCCGGCATCAGGTCCTCATTTTTTCCCCCACCTCCCCACTACCCCCTCCCTCATAAGCCCTTGATAATGTATAAATTA